TCATCCGAATGGTAATTTGTCTTGAAAACCCTATTTTGAATTTAATCTAATTATTTAATTGATTTCATTTTTTAATCCATATTCAAATCTATTAAATATTATGAATTTTATCAAAAATTCAATTATATATATATGTGTGTGTGTGTGTGTGTGTGTGTCACATTGTAATTTTAATTCAATTTAATTGTTTAGTTTTATCAAATGTTTACATATACATATTTGTGTATGCATATCAAATTGAATGGAATCTTATTAAATCAAATTTTTTTATGCGCTCAAATCTAAAATCTTAGAAAATGATGTAATATATTTGATCGAAGTGAATTGAATTGAATCATAATTAAATCAATTTTTTTTATGTGCCTAAATCTAAAATCTTAGAAAATGATGTAATATATTTGAACTTAGATAATTGGTTAAAAATATATATGTATGTCTTAGTAATTGAATTCGGAGAAATATTGATTCGGTAAGTTTAGTGAGTCATTGTAGAAGGAATAAAGACAACTAGAGATTAAATAAAAAATTATGAAATTAAGTCTTTATGAGCGAACCTTAAGTCTAAATTTTTATTGCATTAAAAAAAATGAGCGGGGCAAGTTATTAAAAAAATTAATTTTTATTATAATTTTAAATTAACCCTACGAATTTTCAGAATTTCAGTGGGGGCAATTGCCCTACTGCCCCCACCCTGCCTCCGCCTCTATCCACCACCACTGATACACCAACCCATAAGAGCTGAAGATAAAGATGAAGAAAAACCACCGATACACCAACTCTTACACCACTGATACACCACCACTAATATCAGACCACCACCATCGTTTTTTCTATGGAGATGAAGAAAAATCCTTAGATTTACAAAAATAAAACTTAGATCTGAAAAAAATTAAAGGGGGAGCATCACCAATTGAGATGATGGTAGGGTAAGCGTCGGAGAAGGTGAAGAGCTTCACCAAAGAGAGCTTCGCGAGAAGGGAAGTCAGAGCTTTGCAGATTAGGATTCTAGCTTCACCACAGTCGTAGAGAGAGAGAGAGCTTTATTTTTGCTTTATATAGGTGCCAAAAAAATGTCTTATTTTTTGCTTCTGATGAAAGTTGAAGGCTGAACCTCATTAAAGGCCCCCTTTAGCCCCGCGTATTCTCGTTTTTCTGTGTTTTCAAAAATATCATTTTTCTTGTTTTCAATATTCACCCTTGTTTTCAAAACAACTTGACTACAAAAAAAACATGAACTAAACATATTATTATTTTTTAATTTTAACAAAAACAGAAAAAAAATATATATATATATATATATTTAGTTACCAAACGATACCTTGGCGAAAAGGATTGATTTGATAACAACCATGTGGGTGCAATTATAGAGAACCAAAGCACTCCAAGGAAAAGCTTGTAAATGTGATTATCGTGAATTGGGGGCCACTCGTGCAGAAGAAATGATTCTCGTGAATATGTGATTCACACCATAGCCCAATTATGTTCTACACACAAGCCTGTTATTGTCAAGGAACTTAATTATAGAAGGCATCTCTCTAATTAAAGCTATTTAGAATTTCCGCCCATACTAAAATTAACATGTAAAATCATCCACCATGAATTTTGTACAAAATTCAGTTGAATATTTAATTTAACAATTGATGAACTGAATGAATGCAATTTTAATTTTATCCAGTTGTGTAGGGTTAGCTTCAAGCAAATTGTATACTCTAATATGTCTGGTTCGACCCTAGCTTGCGATTCTCAAGTTTAACAAACATATGTGATTATTGGTATACATGTTTGGTTCGACTCTAGTTTATGATTCTCGAGTTTAACAAGCATACAACATAGGTAGGTGTTCTCGTCCTCTAAGTCACATGAGGCAACGTGAATGGTTGACTTGTAGATCGGCCATAATTATTAGGGCTTGTTTGGTATTATTTTTAAGAGGGGTTTAAATTAACTTGTTTAAATTCGGATTTGACCAAAGATAAGATTCAAATAAGGGATTCAATATTCAATATTGTTCATACATATATTTGATATGCGTAGAAATATATGACTATTATGATAATATATTTGTATTTAAATGACTATTGTACCCCTTAATTAATTTAATCTAAACATAAGTATAGATATATGAGAAGTATAAATATCATTTGAATGTGAAACCCCAAACCCACATATGAAACCCCTCCCCCCAAAGGTTTCATGAAACCCATGAACAAGGGTTTCATGACCGTACCATGATCAGGCCGAATTTTTAATTCTAGTCTAAATTTATAGTTACTAAATATGGGTTTAAGGGGTTTAGTTCCCAACCCATGTTCCAAAACTCCCCCAAACCCACATACCAAAAAGACCCTTATACTCTTGGATTAATAATAAGAGCCATAATATATGAATTTAAAAGGCTGATTTGATTAATTATTTCGTTGATTTAATTGTGAATATTAATATTTATTAAGATTTATTATTTATTTAATAATTATGATTGATTAAATTAATATTTTAAATTCAAGCATTTTTCTCATAATAATGCGGCTGCTCGTGAAGAGCCAGCCCCCTTAAAAATAAACCGAATGGACATCTTCTCTTATCATAATTGACCAACCAATATTGTTAATGTAATTTAGAATAGATATAATTATGCAAAAACCAATAATTAAATTTAAAAAATCTTCTTGGACCGCTTCCCTCAAACCAACAAAAAGATAGTGATGTGAATTAAATTTAATAATAAAAAAATTAGAGATTAAAAAACTCGTTCTTTAAACTGTTTAGAGTGTTTCCGAAAAAATCGATTTTTTCTTGAAGCTCTTAAATAAGTCTTATTTTTTAACTTTTTCTTAGTACTAATAAAAACTATTTTTGTACAAAAAATTGATAGAAAAATCGTTCATTAAACTCTGAAATTCAATTAAGTTGATACTTTTTGAACATTTTCATTTCGAATATTTAAATATTTTTTGTCCAAATACTAAATGTTTTTAAATTAAGCCGCCCTGATTGCCGCCCTCTAGTTTTTGTTCCTATTAGACGGCTGAAGGAATTGGTTGACTGGTGGATGAACCTTAACTCAACGAGGAATTCAAACTGCAACTCGGGTTTTATTCAGGTTCCGCTTCATTAATCAAAAAACATATAAACTCAGGTATTTTATGTTAATTCCCAGGTTGAATGTGTTTTATTAAAGGGTAAAATATAGTAACAGTCCCTTCAGCATTGGTTTTGTGTCAGTTTTATTTTTAATCTTTTAATTATGTCAATTTGATCATTCAAATATTTAATTTGCATTACTTTCTTCTAATTGAAAACATAGGTATAAATTGACTAAAGAAAATGATTATGTGCATCTCACGTGACCGCAATTGAGGGACATTTTTCGAAAACATTAGGTACAAAAGGAACACAAATTATAAACAAGAAAAACCAAATTGACACACGTTGCAAACTTGAGTGACCCAATTTATAAATTGGTGATCAAATTGACACAAAAATGTATAATTTGGGAATTAAAAATTATTTTACTCATTATTAAATTCAAATAGAATTTAAATAATCGTGGATGACTTGTCTTTGATCAGACCGAAAAAAAGATTAATCAAGGTACGCGCAAGATGATCCGAACACTCTGACCGTTAAAACCAAAAAAAAAACAAAAAAAAAATCAAATAGAATTCCATTGAATCCAATTGACTCAACTTTCTAACCTGATTACAAAATCAATCTATACCGGATTGGTTTTTCCTTTATTCTTTTTTTTTTTTTCGCACAACTCCCTCCTGAAATAGACTTTTTTTTTTTTTTGGAATATTCGAATACATATTGAGGCGTCCGAATCATACCTCCAAAAGCAATTTCTCTATGTGTCTGGTCATACTTCTAGCAGAAGGCAAAACCCTTCTTGACTGGTAGTTGGAACCATGGTTATTATTCAATTTTCTGGATGTCATCATGATGGTAGGGTCTGCCACCGGGGATCATAATCCTTATATTTTCAGAATGGGTACGTCACAATCTTGAAGGAAGGTTTATTGGCTGTGCGCTGCGTTATGGGTGGCAATTGTTCCGTGTTATTTTTGCATTCCGTTATTTTTGTGTCGTGTACCTTTTATATGCGTCGAATTTGTGTCAATATTAATATAAAATTATTTAATTTGTTAACAGTTTATATAATATTATTAAAAAATTATAAAATTTTTATTTTTTGTCTATAATACTAGTTAAATAATTATTTTTTATCTACAGTATCCATTAATCGTATTATTCGTGTCGAATCTTAATTTGACTAATTTATTACTCATGTCAACTAATTGTGTTATTTTTGAGTTTTGTATCGGATTCGTGTTAACGGATAAAATTGACACCTTTATGTGGCGTCCAATAACTTACAAGTCTTCGAATCAAAATTTATCGTATATTTTAAAAGTCAAGAGGATAATTGACGAAAGTTTGACACCTTATAACAAAAAATATATATATATATTTTTATGAATTATTGTGATCTCTTATTTTATTAATTTTTTTTAAAAAATAAATAGTTTGTATATTGCATGAAATAGTGTTTTGACAGATTTTTATTACATGTACACACTCATTACAATTTTTCCTTAATCCCCCTCCCCATATCTTATTCTCTTTGAACATGATTGTGTACATAGTTCTGATTAGTAATTAATAAGAATAATATTACATGAATTTAAAAAATAAAGTTAAAAATTAGACTTGATAATTAAAATTATTGATTTTATTGTAAGTCTTAATATTTATTGGGACTCACTATTTATTTAATGATTAAAATTATCAAATTTAATTTTTAAATTCCCCTGACATTACAGAATTAATAAGGGATGCTACTGTGCGAAACAAAACAAGGTTTTTTCCTTCCGTCTATCTTTTTTTCTGAATGTTGCCTATAAAATCTGAAAGCCGCCCCAAGTCACAGTTGCCTTGCCTCAATTCAAAACTTTGGGGGAGACAAAACCTCTCGCCCACAAACAACCCCCCACCCGTCCCTCTCTCTCTCTCTCTCTCTCTCTCTCTCCGTCATATCGATCTTCAGCCTGGACTTTTCTGTCCACTTTAGTCAGGGTAACCACATCACAAAGGCCTCATTTCAAACCTCTCTCTCTCTCTCTCCGCCATGGGAAGTGACCAGAAGATGAAGATTCATGTGAAGGACTCCACCATGGTCCGCCCTGCAGAACCCACCCCAGCCGAGAGGCTCTGGAACTCGAACCTAGACTTACTGGTGGCGAGAATTCACCTCCTCACCGTCTACTTCTACAGACCAAATGGGTCTGTCAACTTCTTTGATTCTCGTGTTCTGAAGAACGCTCTGAGCAACGTTCTTGTCTCCTTTTACCCCATGGCCGGAAGGTTAGGAAGAGACGAAGGGGGTCGGATTGAGATCAACTGTAATGGAGAGGGTGTGTTGTTTGTTGAAGCCGAAACTGATTCCGCCATTGATGACCTTGGTGATGGCGACTTCACTCCAAGCTTGGAGCTCCGGCGGCTCATTCCAGCTGTTGACTACTCCGGCGACATCTCTTCCTATCCACTGATTGTTTTACAGGTACATGATCTCCTGTCACCTTTTCTTTTCTTTGCTTGGTTAACTTTATTCTTCTTTACATTTTCTTTTCTATTATTTTCTTTTTTTTTTTTTGTGTAAATTTCTTTTTAATCCCCAAATTGGATCATCGCAAGAAATTAAAAACAAATAAAAAGAATTAACACCAATCCTGGTACCGGTACCGAGGTATTAACTAATGGGGGTCGCATTCAAAAGAGTAATATTATAATGATCAAATTTTAAGTCTAAATGACTTGTCAATTGACTCGAGTTTCTTTTATTAGTGTCATGTTCTTTGAATTCTAATAAAAAATTTTAAATAATTAATTATTATGTCATTTGAGTTTTAAATTTGATCCCAAAATTTAACGGGTCTAAGCTTTCAAAATGTCACGTACAGCGGCCAGGATTGAGCAAATCAGAGGAGTACCATATTACAACTTATCCAACACGGCTTCTGGAATAAAACTGAGGGTACTTTTACGAGTAATGGTATTAGGACCTAAAAATTTAATTTAATTTATTATAACTATTGTTGGGTCTATTAAATGTTGAAATTTAATATTAATCTAATAATTTATATTATTATATCAATAAATTAAATTAAAATTTTAAATTCAAATAATATTAGTCTTAGTCTGTATCAGCGATGGTGGTATCCAAAATTATCAACACAGTACAGGTCGAGCCAATAAACTGATCGGTAGGACCACAAGGGTCAAATCTCAGGGGAGAAAATTGTTCATTGGAAAGGACACCCAGCCTCATGGATGCCAATCAATCACGTGATGCCCTCGTTATATTGTCATACAATTTTTGGACCTCCAAAAAGTATTTTAGCGTCTAGCTTTTAATAATTCAAGTCTTACTTTAATTCTTTGTCACATTCTTTAAAGTTATCTACTCTTATGAGTAAAAGGATATTTTTTTAATTTAGCTTAAGTTACCGTGGTATACTGCTGTACTCGAGAGGCGGTAATCCGTACAAATTTTGTCGGCCTATAAAAAATATTAAAAAATTGGGACAAATGATTGAATCTTGTCTTTAATAATTCATTCAAAAGTCTCGGATACAATTTTTTTCCACGGCCCAAGTGCTAGACATCTTTGTTGACATGCTTTAATCCAATTTAAGATACAGTAACTTGTTAATGAGCTCGAAAAAATAGTCCACGCAAGTTTGTACACTCTAGGAAAAAAAAAATGGGTCAAGTTTTCCTCATAAAAAAAATATTAAATGTGGAGAGTATAGTTAAAGTATTATATCATATTTAGTGTATCAAAACTAATCTAAAATAAAAAATTTAATTTGATTAATTTAGAATCATTAATTAAAAAATAATAAATCAACTAATTTTTTAGTGTAATAATTAAACTCAGAAATCTTAAATGTTTCACTTACATCTTCCGAGTGTGAACCAATTCCAAAATTGTTCACAAAAAATTCATCATACAGATGTCAAGAATATGAATGATTGAGGATTTTATGAGATCAAATCAATAGTTGAGGGACAAAATAAAATTTAAACCGAAGAAAGTGTAATTAACTCATATTTTATAGTAGCACTTTCTTTGTACACACTTACTTCCTATGTTAAATATCTCAGATGATTCGATATTCATGGCATCAACATCCAAGTTGTATGCTTTCTCAACTTAATAATGATATATATATACATGTTACGTGTAAGTTTTAATCTATTAGACAATCATGTTGAAATTTTGGTCGAGAATTATGGTACATGATAAAGAATGGACTAGTCATATTTGATCCAAAATTCTAGCATGTTGAGAATCGGGTAACAAAAAATTCTGGCCTTTGAAATGGTCGATCCAATTCTCATTGTGGGACTATTTTTACCTAGGTTGATACTAGTTTTAATTGATAACTAGTTTCTGCAAAGTCAATTTGTAGAATCCTCATGGATCCCCGCAAGAAAAGCTTACCCTCTGTTTGGTACGAGGGAATATTGGATGGATGAAAAAATAGACTTTTCTTTGTTTGGTTGGGATAGAAAATAGAGAGTAAAGGAAAATAGGATAGAAAAGGTATACCTCTCCCGCCCACCATAAGTAATTTGTCCAAATTTGGGTGAAAAATGGAAGAAGGAGAAGTGCTGTCAAATAATCACACTTATTAAATTTTTAAATTTATTATAATACCCCTTAAAAGTATTGAGGTCCACTTTTTTTCCCAAGATAAATCAATATAATGGTGAGTATTTTTATTCTATATTTTCTACAACCATAAGGGTATTTATGTAATTTAAAACTTGTAAATTTTTTTTTTATAACTTTTTTTCATACGAATAAAAAATTTATTTTTTTGACTTTTCTATTCCTTCGATCAGAAAAGTAGGAAATATGTCTTTCTTTTCTCAAATGATTGAAAATGCATCTTTCTTCTTTTTTTTCTATTCCTCCAATCAAACATATCTTTAACACCTCCAATCAAGTACAGATATATTTATTTTTTTTTTGGAACAAAGTTGGAGATATTCTTGAACACCTCAAAGTTGCCGTCATGGTCTTGGATAGGTAACAGCCATTGCGGACACGCAACAACTTCTAAATGTCTAGGAATCAATTATAATGCCAGAAGATAATTCTGACTTTTTCGTTATGGTAAGAACCAAAGTCAGAACACAATTTCATAGCCACTTTTTTTTCTTGATATTTAGTGCTCAAAGATACATTCTTTGTTTTTTTATGAGTAAAAATGTTTAAATTAATTTATGTACATTTTAATTAGTTATTTTTTTAATTTGATCAAAGGGAGATTATCTACGTCAGAATTAATTAGGATATTCATGAAAAATAAATTTTTTATAATTTAAAAAATTATCAAAATTCGAATTTTAAGAGGTATGTGTTGTTATCACTACTAACTTCTTTTGTGAAATTTACTTTGTGTTTAGGTAACCTATTTCAAGTGTGGGGGTGTCTCTCTCGGAGCAGGGGTACACCACACTTTATCAGATGGTGTTTCCTCACTTCATTTCATCAACACGTGGTCGGACATGGCACGCGGACTCTCCATCGCCATCCCACCATTCATTGACCGGACCCTCCTCCGTGCCCGGAACCCTCCTAGCCCGGCTTTCGACCATGTAGAATACCACCTGCCTCCTTCCCTAAACACCCACCTCGGAACCCCAGAACCCGAATCAAGTCCTAAGGTTGTTTCTACAACCGTACACAAAATCACACTTGATCAACTCAACAAACTAAAAGCCAAATCCAGAAACGATGGCAACACAAAGGAGTTCAGCAGCTATGCCATACTAGCAGCACATATATGGCGTTGTGCAGGCAAAGCACGGGGCCTCGATCAAGAGCAATTGACAAAGCTATACACTGCCACAGATGGCCGGTCCAGGTTGTGCCCTCCTCTCCCACCTGGCTACCTAGGCAATGTTGTTTTCACCGCCACGCCCATTGCTGTCTCCGGTGATCTTGAATCTGAGACATTGTCAAACTCTGCAAAGAGAATTCATGACGCCTTAACAAGAATGGACAATGAGTATTTGAGATCAGCTCTGGATTACCTGGAGGTGCAGCCTGATATATCAGCTCTCGTTCGAGGGCCAAAGCATTTCGTTAGCCCCAACCTGAACATCAATAGCTGGACTAGGCTGCCTGTGTATGATGCAGATTTCGGGTGGGGGCGACCGATCTTCATGGGACCTGCAAGCATACTATACGAGGGTACAGTGTACATAATGCCAAGCCCAACCAAAGACAGGAGCTTGTCATTGGCTGTGTGCTTGGATGCCGACCACATGCCACTCTTCCAGAAATTCTTATATGACATCTAGAAAGGAATGGCCATTCGGAGTTCACCCTGTGTCGGGCTTCTCACCGTTACTTCAGATAGAGCAGCTTCAATATGTCGACCCAGTAAACAAGAAATACAGTTGTTTCACCCACCGTGAGTTTCCCGAGTTTGAAGCACTCCTACCCCTGAAAGGCTCAACTTCGCCCCTCCAACCACCACCAGAACAAGTGTTTTACCAAATCATTGTGATTTTTGAGTTTTATTTTGTCTCTCTGCCATGGTGTCTAATTTATTTTTTTCCCTAATCTACTTGTATGCATTAAAGTGTGGTTTGATCCGGCGTTAAACGAAAATAAAACCTTGAAAACGTGTCTTTCAAACACGTTTTTATTTAAACATTGATGAGAAATTGAGAAATAAAATTTAAAAATACCATAAAATAAGAATAAAGATAGGACACTGTAATTTGAAAATTGATTCCCAGCACTTTTATTTTGTACGTCGAGTGACCTTAAAAGCTTATGATATGTCAAAATCACCACAAAACAAAATACCAGTAAGAAGTTCTTCCATACCAAATAATAATCTTAGTAACGCAAGTGATAAATAGTGATAAGTTTTAAATTTAAACATCTTGAACTCAAAATTATAGTATAGAAATGTATTCCTTATGAATTTTTTAATCCCATAGAGGATATACTTTTAACAAAATCGAGTCAGTAGAGAGCATAAATTTCCCGATACCCTGAGTGTAATAACAAGGCCAGTCCATCTAGTAACAGTCACAGTTCTTTCCTAGGCCAAGTCAATCATTCAAAAGAAGCCCAACTCTTCGACAGTACCTTCAGCAGATAGTCTGGCTAAGATTAGTCCTGAGCAGCTTCTGCTACGTACATTTTTTTGAGATAATTCCAACTATCAAAATTGAAATGTTTGAATATAGCCTTATTTTTTGTAAATTAGTTGTATTCCTCTGTCCATAAAAGAGAGCATTGAAAAGTGGATAAAACATCGATTTACAAGTTAGATTATCACACTGTAAAAACCACCCCATCAAATGAAATGTTCACCAAACCATTGTTTTGAGTTTGTGGAGTGAGCAACTCCAGTCGACCTCACAAATGTCACACCCAAGTATAACATTTCACATTTGCTTTCTCTTCGACCGACATCTCAAACGTGTCTCATTGACAATTAAATTTGGCATTATGTCAAATTTTTTATTAAGTATTATTTTATTGATGTAGTCAAAAATAAAGAAAAAATATAATAAAATAAATTATTTTAACATATAAATTAGAGTACTAATAATGTCACACCTCCACCCCGGATCACATAGTGTGAGCAGCGGACCGGCCACCAAGGCCTTAACCAACCATCCATGTGCATAATTAATACAAAATACAGTGGTAGACAAATAATAAATTGATCATTTTCACCGACCTAATGAATATCATAGAAATAAACTAACTTCACCGACATTATTAATAAATTCATGTAAAACAATAATTAATCCATAAGGTTCACTAGTCTAAGCAAAAACAACATTGTTCTCAAAACAATCGAATACTTGTCTCAAAACTATAAAAAAAATATTTATTCCTGAAGATGTACAATAAAATAAATCTTCGATTTTTCTAATTCCTTATCTATCCGAGAACTTACTCCTCCTCCTGATCCTCACCTAAAAAATGTTAAATATTTGGGTGAGCACAAAGGCCCGTGAGTAGCAACCACCTCAATGAGGTTTGAAAATAAATTCCTTATTTCATATACACAGAAATAAACTTTGTTACATATATAAATACAATAAATTGTACCTCAATCCCTTTCAAATTACCATGTAAATAAAATGATCTCATAATCATAATAACTTTATAAAAGAAAAGACATTTATAGTTCAAAACACTCACACACACATTCAGCCTCAAATACACTTGTCAAATCATGTTTGTTACCACTAATCTAATAACTGACTTCATCTCTTGTCATCACTAGCCTGATGACTGGCCCTGTCTTTTGTTATCACTAACATGATAACTAGCCCCTATGTGAACATCTCTATACTGACCACACCGGTATACAATCTCGTTACCATTTAGACCTGGTAACTCAGTCCCCTTCTCATAAAACATGATTTCAACACACACACACACTAAAACTGTTGTTTTAATCCCATCGCACACAAAATTTCTCTTTCATCACCAAAATCATTTAAGCAATAATATAAAATTATCTCATAAGTTTTACAAATTTATATGTGTAGCAATTCACAATTACAAAAAAATATTTAATTACAACCCCAAACATCAACATATATTATATATATGAAAAATTCACACACACGCACCCACAAGTTTAATATAGAAAATCCTCTCAATAGGAGTAATAAACTACTCACCTTGATTTCTAAAATCTAATTCAATGGACTCTTTTTCAACCTCAATGCAATCACCACCTAATCCAAAATAACATATAACAATCAATCCCTTTTTTCTTACTTCGTCGTTTCGCGATTCTATACTTAATTTTTATATTTTCTACTCATTAATATATACTCAATATATATTTTATATATAAATATCCTTTCTAATAAGAGGTAACCTCGTATGGAAGTATTCTAGACTGTTTGGAAAAAAGTTTCTAAAGTTCTGGGGTTAAATCATAATTTTTTAAAACTTTTGGGGTCAAAATATAATTTTCTTAAAAAACGAATTTTCTGTTTTTGGGTCTGCCATAAATTTTTTAGAATTCTGTTCTTGCAACTTACCAAGTAAAAATGTACTTAAAATTAAGTTTAGAAGAATAAAGGGGTCAAAATAAAATTCTTTAAAACTAAAGGGGAGCTTTCTATATGTTTTGGGATTTGGTGTTCTTCTTCCGGCGGCTGAACCTGAACCATTATACTTCCTTTCCCTCTCTTCTTTTTTTTTTTTTTTTTTCTTTCCAACGCATTGATTGAACTCAATCAATTCCAAACAACTATAAACTTAAAAATCAACCTAATAACTTCAATAATCAATAAGGTATCATGAGACTTATATATATATATATATATATATATATATATATATATATATATATATATACACACACACACTAACATTATAAACCCTACACCCATTAATTGAATAAGAATATAAAATTCATTAAAAAAATTATTAATCCATACCTTGGATGGATTCAAGTCCTTTTCTTTCTTTTTCCTCCTCCTTCTCTCTTTTTCTTTCTCTCTCTCTCACTTTATTTATATATATATATAACCCTGGTTGCCTTTCTTTCTTCCTCCTTATTTTTTTTTCTCTTGCCCTATTTTGACTGCCTACATATAAAAAATAAAAGAAATCCTACAAGTCCTCAAATTCATTAAATACATTAACATCCCTTTCTAAAAAAAATATTACAAATTAACCTAAAAACTAATATTATATATATTTTAAATTGGGGATATTACATTCTCTCCTCCTTAAAAAAATTTTGTCCTCAAAATTTATACACTTTTAAGAACAATTGAGAATAATGACTTTTCATGCTTCCTTTACTTTTCCCAATAATTTCCTCAAGTGGGTGGCTCTTCCACAACAATTGGCTAACAGAATGCTTCCATTATACAAAATTTATTCACTTCTTAACATAATTAAGAGTTTCTTTAAACTCAATAGACTACTCCCACCAATATACAAGGAGAATCAGGTATACATACTTCTTGAGCATAACAATACAAAGTATGTCGTGAAAATGAAAAATCTTTACCAAATAATTTCGTCAATTAATCCTCAATAACCCAAAATAGATTCATACCCAAATCTATATCTTGAAAGTATGTATACAAAATTCATATTAACATTCTTCCATCTCTACTCAAAGATTAAAAGAAACGTAATATACTTGTAGAATATTTATATTCAGTCTTTATTCCCATATTAAAAAAAAAACTATACATTTAACTACAAACTTAGCAATTTCTCTTTTCATTCTATTTCACCAATAATAACTTCTTAATCTCAAAAAAAATGTGTAGTCCCTGAATGCATAATAATAAACATCAACTATCAAAATATAACATGACATTACTCCAAAATACAGAATCGATCATGCTACAATGTTACACCTCATTTCTGATCCTTCGTACATGTGAGTCCCTACTCTTTTTTTTTATTAGCTAACTGATACAATCTATTAATAAGAGTCTAATTTACAATTGAGCTAATAAAACCTATGTACCCTTCAATATCACATGTACCCTTGTCAATTTCAAATCAACAAAATTATTCATTCGAGTTCACTAAATACAACACAACTTCTTAATGATTTCTTGCTCCATGTATCGACTACTATAATAGCTTTGTCTACATGATAGTAGTCCCTAATCTTTCCATCCATCTCCTTTTTCTCCAATTAAACTCCTTTTTAGTAAATAAATCTTTCAACCTTTACATGTCTTCTTCCATAACTTCAAAGCAAAAACAATTACATCTAACCCAAAATCATGAGTAGGGTAATTCCTTCTTTACTACAAGAATACACAAATGTAACACCAATGAATACAGTAATATATAAATTTAGATAAAGTTGAGATACTCAATTTAGTCGATCCATAAAGATAGATGCACCATTTGTCAACTTCAATGACTTCTCCAGAAATACAATATAACTATCCCAGTTTGATAAATAATTTTTAAAACACCACCACTTCTTTCTTTTAATTAAAGATAACTCAACTTAAAATCAATCTAACTAAATTCTCTAACCCCTCACAACTAATCAAATAAATCATCAATACCATGTAAAATATATTTATTGTTTATTACTACCTTACTCAATTGGTATTAATCGACGTACATTTCATAATCTCATCATTTCCTTTGCGTACATGAGTACCCCACAACAAATTATTAAGTTGAATAAATCTTTGATCTAATATATTTTCAATTGAATTCCCAATTCCTTTAGTTCATCAAGAACCATCCGATACAGAGTAATAAATATAAGAAAAGTAACCTAGGGCTACAAAAAAATGTAAACTTTATCTCTTTCCAATGGTAGTATATACAACTTCTCTCAAAATATATTTGAAAATTTTCTTTGTATTGGTATCTCCTCAAGAGACACTCCCTAGTTCTGTGCATCAATAATACTAGCAATATTTCTCTAAAAATCTTTCTTCACCCTGTTTCTGAGCTTGTACTCACAGAGTTAACACTAGGGATTAAATAAATCATGTTCCCTCAAAACTAAATCGGCATGACTCCCTTTTCAAAACAACCAACTGTCTCATATTGTGTGACTAACCAACCCATAATTAATATCACTTCAAAACCCCTAAAGTCTAATAAACTCAATAAACTAGTAAATGTTGTTCTCCAATATAGACCCTATACCTTGGGTACACGATATCTTCTCACTCAAAACCACCCG